CGCTGAGAAATGCCCCGACAATCAACACAGAGGAGAGGGAACATGGATCAAGTTTCGACTACTGTACTTCGAGGGCTTTCCAAACATGTTGTGTGTAGCCGCAGTTCAAAGGAGGAGTGCCAAGGGAAAGGGACGTTGACAGTGCCCCGACTCAGAGGCATTCTACACGATGTGGTGTACGCATGTCAATGACATTTGGACGGGGACCGTTCGAGATCAGTTAACGGTCTAGTGCTCCAGAAGGGGGAACCACTATCGAGGAACTAGTATATTTTCTCGATGAGGAGTCGATACAGACATCGAGAAAGCTTGAGGATTATGAAGGAGAAGGGCCTGCTTGGAGGTGATAGGAGATGTGCAACTGCAGTAGCAGAGGTGCATGAAAAAAAGGAAAAGAGAAGAAATACGGTAACGAGGAAAAAGAGAAGGAAGAAAGGGACGAAGAGGGGCCGATCGCAGTGACGGGGGCGCACCCAGAAAGCAAAAAAAAAATATAATAAGAGGAGGAAGTCTACGGATCAAGGTGTGACCGGAGACGGATGGAGGCATGTTGAAAAGAAAACAAAAAAAGAGGAGGAAGCTGAGGAGGAGAGAACGCATATTTACTCTCACAAGAGGGGTAATGAGGCGAAAAGGGGTAATGAGGGATCGGCCGTGAACAGCAGATCAACGGGACAGAGCACCGGAGCCGCTTTCCTTCGGCAGAGAGGTGAGGAGACGGGCGAGGACGCGTAGGTCCTCCAGAGTTGCACCCTGCAGCGCCTCTGCCTCTACGCCATGGGCCCGGAGAAGTCGATGATAGACGCCTGAGGCGGTGTTATTTTTTTTGGGAACTGAGGGTGAAGGAAGAGCCAAGGCAGGCGTGACGGGTGGCTCCTCACGCGAAGGGGAAGTCTGGCGTGGGGTAGGACCCACGTCAGACGGCGGCACTTCCCGGACTGATAGGGTTTCAGTTGAGTTTGTTGAGGGAGACAGGACGCAAGGAGGACTTCCGCGTGTGGGTGGACACACCGGAGGGGGGCGTGGCAGTGAACGAGCCGTCTGAGGTGAAATTGCAGGCAAAGACGGCTCGGTGAGACAAGGCGTTGGGGACTGTACGTCCGGCGTGGAAGGTTGGACCGCGGAAAGAGGAGACGAAGGGCCGGACGGTCGAGAGCACACGCTCTCTGCACGAGGATCCACGCCTCGCTCGGGAACCGCGTCGGGGATGGGGATTTGATTTCCGAATTGTCGACTCAGTCGAGCTTCTGAGGACGAGCACAACGTCGACGTCCAGGGGTTAAACCAGACGAAATCACCCGCCGCGCTGTGACTACGTCCGGGAGAAAAGGAGGGACGTCGCTTTGCGAAGGATCGGGAAGAGTTGTAAGGGGGAACGCTATCCCAATCGATTTGCTCAATCTTGTCGAGCAGTGAGTGCAATTCGAGGTCGGTTTCGGCGCCACCCAGGGGGACAGTGTAATCCAGAAGGCGCATGAGCTCAACGAGCTTCGGGGGAAGGTACCACAGACGCCAACAATCATACGCCTCCCACAGCAAGGTACCAGCGACCTTCACGCACCACTCGGTCATGAAAACAACCCACAATCCGTGTCGGGGGTTGTTCAGGTGGCTCCCGAAGTATGTAAGGATGGGGCCCAATTCCGCCCAAAATCCTTGGCAGACTTCAAATTGACCCCACCAGGAGGGAAGCTGCTGTTATTGGTTGACGTAGTGTGACCGCGCGATCTCCCCCGCCTCGATCATTTGGTATGCCAGGAAGTATCCCGTGTCCGATCTCATTTTACGCTCGTACCGGACGGTATGTTGGAAGAAGAAGAGGTTCCTGCGTTTCATGCGCCAAAAATTAACAGGGAGAATCGCACGCGTCCACGACATTGCGTCATTCGTCACTGTCAATTGGTTATGCCATAAGCGGTCCGCTTCCAGTACGGGGTCACCCCGGGTCCAACTGAGGAGGTTGTCAAGATAATGGCGCTCCCCCTCCGTGCGGAATTTCCACGTGTCGCAGCCGAAGGAAGGAGGAATAAGGGCGTCGGTCAAATGGAGGTCAAGCCGGGCGAGCACAGAGTCCATGAATTGCAGGGACAAGGTGCGACGGCGGCGTGGAGAGCAGTGACGAAGGATGGAGGTAGGAATGGCAATGCGGGCGCGCCAGTCAAAAGTGCGAATGGCTTGTAGGGGTAGTTGACCGGGTAACATGCCGGCGCCGTCTGCAAAACTATGTTCGATGTCGGCAACATCGCGGACGCCCACGGAGGAGAACCACTGAGCAGAGGCAAGTAGGGAAGGATGTTCACGCATGGATTTGTCTTGTAGCTCATCGAGCGAGGGGTATCGACGGGCTACCCAAGAAGAATGGTAGCCCGGATGGAAGGCCGGTTCGTTAGGGTTGATAACAGGAGGTAGATGGGGTATGGAAGGAAGACCCCGGGGCACTTCGGGCTTGCGAGGAAAGCCCACACCCGGACGCTTACGAGTGGCACTATCGTCCGAGTGTTCCGACGGAGAAGGAAGCATGGTATTTTCGTCTTACCCTTGCCAGAACGCCGCGCAGAGTGCTTGACGTTTGGCAAACACGGTAAGGGACGGCAGGAGATTGTACGATGGCTTGGCGCTGTACAAGGGCGCTCAGAAGGGGGATATGTAGTGCAATAATGGGCTCTACATGGGGGTGGAACGAGATGAGAATAATTGGATATGACAAGTAGTCCGGGTTCGGGGATATACGTGTGAATAATTGCACAGTTTTAATTTTTAATTATTTTATTTTATTTAGTTAATTAGTTGGCATTAATTTTGCTGACACTAGATTAGATCTAGTATCTAGCGCCGCGAGCTACTGTAGTGGCTCCGGCGGGGCGATATATACCTTAGCCCTCTGACCACCAAGTCAGTAAAGGTAACCCGAGTTGCCAGAGTCTGATATCGCCTTGGTCGAAGTCCGTCTTTCCCAAAACGCTCCCTTTTACCACAGATTACGTTATCCCTTGCGCTCGGGGGTTTCCTTTCCTTTTCCTTTATTTCACCTATCCATTTCTATTTCTATCTCTACTTCTATTCCCTTATGTTGTGTTGGTTCCACAGTGCCTGATTGCGATCCGCATTGTGACGACTGGAGTCATCGGGCTCTTGTGTTGGTTCTTTTGTTTGTTGTTGGTGCCATCGGCTTTGGTTGTGACCGGACCGGTGAAGGTGTCTTAGCCATCGGGAAACACATGGGTGTAGCGCTGCTACTTGTTTACGTTCACCGACGGAGGCTGTTGCGACGACGTCTCCCTCGAAGGTCCTGTTGTGTATACAGGACGGTGTTGTACACGTATACTTACACTTCTTTCGTGAGAACTTCTAATTACACGTGCGCTGAGACAAATCTCTCGTTACAACAGGTGGGACTCTCATTGGTGCCACATTTACTAATGCTACCCTCTCATTAATGCCGGCCAGACCCACGAACACGAAAAGTGCCACTTGTCACATGGGTCCGGGTGTTATGCTGCCGTCCCTCCATCGCGTGTGAAAACATGTGAAAGCGGCTTCTAAGCTCGATGCTATTCACCGAACAGCGTTCACAAAACTTAGCTTGTCCTCCGCATGGATCCGGTTCCGGAAGTAAAAAAAGAAACGCGCAAACAAGTGATGATGATGGGGGCGTAGAGGACGCGAGAGAGAGAAGGACTGTACCCTCTGTCGTTGAGATTGCGGAATTGTTTGGAGGGCTAGAAATTTTGGCGACTGAATGCCAAGTTTCAGACGCTCTATCATATCTGAGGTCGTCAAAGCGCGCGTTTCTCACTGCAAAACACGACAGAGACCCAACACGGAGCAGGCAGACGCTAATTACCGAGTGCATGAAAAAGATGTGGCAACGTCACCAATTAATGCCGTCTCCCAATAGTGCCATTGTTAGGGTCTCGCACGGGGCCGCACTAATGAGTAGGGTCCACTGTACCCCCCATTACTGCATGTAGTACATACATTTGCGGGAAATTGCACCATATACAATCTCTGTACCCCCGGTTACTGCCCACGCAACAGCAATGAGATAGACACGCATGACACGTATTTAACATTTTTCAAATACAGGGGGGTCGCTCAATAGTGCCTTCCTTAGTAGTGCTTCCCTCTATGTAATGCTATGGTTCACCCTCTGGCACAGGTTATCATATGCCCACACGTGTATCATCCGGCATGGTTCAGTGTTACGATATACGTACAGTATGAGGGGTGCGACGGCGGGAAAATATGGTGACGAGTACTCAGTACTCAAAGGATGAAGCTTTTTAGTTGTGTTTTACAGGCTTTGTTGTGTTTGTGTTGGCAGACACTGCCTTATCCCCAAATTATATGTACTTGAGCCTCCTTTATATAGTGCCATCCCTCCAATAGTGCCATAGCTAGAGGTATGTCATGCTATAGCACTATATCGTAGGAGGCACTGTATATAGACTGCATGATCGATCTTCCTCTGGCCAATACACTCCCCCTCTCCCTGCATAAAAATGGGGTCCACCGAGGATGCAGGGAACGGGGGGCCACTGAAGCGAGTGTTCCTCCGCGTGACTCGAACAGATAGAATGGCCTCCCCACTTTCGTGAAGCAAGTCGCTTACCGCAATCATCGTGGCACCAGTTTCCTCTAAACCCCTGTTTTACGGAAATCAAAACGAGCTGATTGTTCCGGTAATTACTCTTGAAGACAAAGAGTAGAGTGTAGCGAACCTTCTTCTATATGGCCATAAGGGCACCTGGCGTGTCGATACGGTTTGTCGTTCTGGTAAAATGCCGTATGATGAAAGTCATATCGCACCTCAACGAATTGACTCAAAACTAGATGGCGCACCCAACATAAACAAAGATGGTGGCCCAGATGTCGATATATGTGCGTTCTAAGCACTGCATGGAGAAGTTGCCTTCCTGCCTTCCAATTTGTAATGGTGATTGGGCATAGTGACGGTTCAGAGACCCAATAGAATATTTCGCCTTGGGAGGCGGCTTTAAATGTTCTTTTCTGTCTCTCAGGCTCATCTACGCCATCTTGGGGCCATCAGCCTGTATCTGGACATCCTCAACCTGCTTGAGGATGGGTTTTGCCTCTCTAAATGGTTTGCTTGCCATAATGTTAGTGGAGACACGTACCGCTATTGCGGAAGACGACAACAAACTAACTCTCCCTTGGTTTTCCTCCTTCCGCTTATCGAAAAGATGCAAGTTGGTTAAAACGGAATTTCATTTGTCTGCGAGAATTTCCATGGAAGCGTAAGTAAGTAGGTATACTATTGAGGTGTTTTTCAGACAGAGAAGACTGGCAGGCTGATCCAGTATTTATGCGTGCCACTTCTTTGAAATCAGAACAAGATGATTTATATCCATATAGCATTGTCCTGATCTCGGTGCACTATCGAGGACGTTCCATGACAGCAACGAGACCGTCTTGCCAGCCAAACTTTCCATCAAGACGGCCTTATCGTCTCAGAGCAATGCGATGACCGACACGCAAGGTCCCGTCGCGTGGAGGTCCGCCTTGGATCGGTTTGCTCCCGGTTTGCTCCCTGGACCCGCCTTTACCATTGCGCTGGGTCAGTGGGTGGCGAGATTTTTGGTGCGTAGACAAGTGAGATTTTTGTCCAAATCTGGCAGAACAACCCAGGACCGGGCAAGAATGCGGTTTCTGCTTTAGATGAACAGATGAAACATGATCATTAAGAGACCGCCGTTCCCCAAACCTTTTTAAGCATAGTGTGCAACCGTGATTCTTTTCTTTCAGATGAACCAGTTTGATGTGTTTCTTTAAGTTTGACTTATCCGAAAATTGCTTATGGCACGTGGTGCAGTTGAATGGTCTTTCACCAAGATGTACCGATCGAAAATGATTCTTGGCAACTGATCGTTGAGCGAATGCTTTGGAGCACGTTTTGCAAGAGAACGGCTTCAGCTTTAAATGCACAACACGGATATGTTTATTGAGATTGGATGCTTGCCCAAAATACCTCCCACAATACAAGCAAGGGTGAGAGAGCGGCCTTGGCGAAGGGTTTCTCGCTGAAGATGAGAATGTGTCTGTGGCTTGATCTTTTCTCACCTTGTGATCGTCGCACCCCGTCGCGAATGAAGGATTGAGTACAATATCCCAATGACTCCGTGCGTCCTTGCCTTCCAGTTCTTTGTTCATGCCTCGTTCATTACATGCCATTTCGTAGATTGCTGATTCAAGTGGCTGATTCTCTTCAGAAAACGCATTAAGCTTTCTTTCCACGAGCGAGCTGATATTGACACTCGAGGTTCACTGGATGTGGGAATTTTCTCGGAACGTTCTTGTGACTCTGGCTAGTCCTTGAGCATGTATGAACCCGACTATTGTCATCTCAGACGTCGTGTTCAATTTAGATGTCCGTAAGGGTGCGAAGTTCCCTCTGTTTCTATTTCATGAGCAGGACTGACACTTCTCTCCGATGAAAGGTCGTAACTCGCCTACTAATTCCTTACGTTCAAAACTATATGTATTTGTTTCCTTCAAAAAATAGGAAATCCAATGGGGATGATTGTTACCACGTGGGGACTTCATGTTTCAGTACCCGGACATTTCGCGTTCTTTGACACATCCGATGGGGAACTACCACATGGCCCTGCACGGGGTACGATAAACACTCGCAACCAATGGTCTTTAGATTTTGGGTCCTCTGGCCACTGTGCACGTCACCACCGCGACTTAAGAGCAGAAAAGCGAATGTATCCCGGCACTGTTCGCAGCAACGCAGCACAGCACCTAACAGCAGAACACTAGAAAAGCAGCGACACCATACTGCGTGAGACAGTAATCTCGATATAAGAAATCACTTGGTGGACCATTATTAAATCCCTACATCGCGTGGTCCCTTCTTGCACGAAACAATACGTTGTCCGTGAAATAACCCTTTGTTTTTTTCCATTTGCCCGCAAACTCGCTGGACGTAAAGTAAACCCGAGTTTGAAAAATCCCGCCACGAGTTTTACGGACTGACCTCCAGCAAGGTATCTACCCGCAAGAAACGCAAGTCTGGTACATCGCTGTGCCGCCCGACGGATCACGTACACCTGCGCGAATACTCGCTGAAGCGAATATTGTAGCTCGCCACAAGGATAGAAAGGTTCTCTCTGTGCTAACACGCAAGCACCCTGACATTTGGCATGAATGGATTGGTTGAACGGGAGTAAAAGCATTTCCAATGATTTTTTCAACCAATACATTCATGCCAAGTTTCAGGGTGCTCGGGTGCTGGCACGGCGAACTCTTCGTTAGGAACGGCCCTCAGGGCCAGTCCTAACAGGCGCTTTTCTTTTCTTTTTTTTTTTCTTCAACCAGTTGCGGTCACGCTATTGGCCGGGTCATTTCATTAAATTAATCGCACGCCACAACGAATGCTACACAGAACCACTGTAATGCTTGGTAATTCTGCAAACTGGTCGAAATCCATTGGCTAAAGGAAGTACCAGTCCACACTCAGTCCATATGCACACTACTAAAATTCCATGGACTCGATGCGGTGCAGTGGCACTTGCAGTACAATGAAAGGGTGGAATTAAATCCAAATACGAGCACATGCAGATCAAAACATTGGTTCTCTCAACGTTACACTCTGTTTAGGAAACGGAGCACCACCGGACGGCAGAAGGGTACCCAGAGTTCAGCTTTTTGAAATCAAATGCCTCCTTGGCATCGATCATGAAATGGAGAGAAGCCGGGGAGGCTGCTCTCTAGTTCATGATCGATGATGAAGTGGCTTCGCCGAAATCCCTTTCCTGTGAACCACCCCGCCCTCGCTCCCTCCCCCCCGCCACCAACCCCCCTTCCCCCCCAAATATGACCACGTCCCCTCCTCCCCGCCACCCCCCTTCCCCTCAATATCCCCACGTCCCCTCCCCGCCACCCCCCCTTCCCCCCCAAAATCCCCACGTCCCCTCCTCCCCGCCACCCCTACCTCGCGCCCGACCACCACGCCCCATCACCATCTTCCTCACCTCCTCAGTACCGTGACCAACACACATCCTCCGACATGCTATTGTCCCCGCTACCGCGTCATCCTCCTCACATCGACACCGACACAGTCTCTCCCCGCACCCTCCATCCCTTCCATATCTTTCGTTTCATATCTCAATCCAGCCCAGTTTTGGTCATGCACATCGAGGGACCTCATTATAGCAACACGTCGTCCAGCTTTGCTTTTGTCGAGCTACAGGGAGTCAGACTGGGCCATGTGCATGCGCGAGGAGGCGTTGCTGTACCTTCCATGCTGCATGGATCTGCAGACCGTCCAGAATCTGTTCCATTTCTGAGGAGTGGAACTTTGGGATGGCATTACAGTAAAAACTACAGCAATGTGCTTCCGATTTTAGTGAAGAACTCAATAAAAACGGGGCGAGGGAAAGGAAAAACGAGAAAAAAGTCCTTTGTTAGGACTGGCCCTCAGTCGAAAGGGCGATGTGTTTCGTCTTCTTGACAGGCTGAGGGGGGGGGGGGGGGGGGGGGCGTTTAGAGAGGACCGTTTTTAGAAGCTTCTACTTGTCTATCTTTCGCGGTTGCTTCGGCGGCATCTGTGGCAGATCCTGTCGCGCTTTGATCCATTGATGGACTTTGCGCAGATGAACCGATAGGGGCGTCCATGACGCATATTGATACGACCCGTGCAGTCTAAGGCTCGTTTGTGCCGATAAAAAGAACGGAAGACCCACTTCGTTTTCCGTCAAGACGGGTCGGTCCGGCACTGCTGTGATCAGGCGGATGTGAAACTCGTGGAAAACTCACGTGCTCCGAGTTTTCGATATGCTGTGAGTTTTGCCAAACGTGGTTGAGAATGTTGCGTTCAGAAAATCCGAGCAAACTCGCCACCAAAACACGCGTTTTCGCTACTTTGCGGACAACGTTAATACATGTGGCTGTTCCACACCGGATCGCAATTTCACCCAACGGTGACAACAGCTTTTTTTTGAGATAATGTTGCATTTGGGGGGCGATCAGTGTCGAAAAACTCCGTTATAGGGTGAAAACGTTGACTCGGGAACCAGGCGCGCAAGAGCCTGGACTGTTCGCAAGAAATGGAGTCCTCTGAGAGAACGACGGTACGACTACCCGCCTTGGAGGGAGTCGTCAGAAGTTGGTGCACAACCTTGTTTATTGATTTCGTTCTAGCCTCGATCTCTTTCGCGACATGGTCGCTCTCACTCGCACCTTAAGAAGAAGAGACAGCTTATTCATTCGCCGTACATCTGCTGACAATGTCTGTCTTCGAATTGCACTTTGCAATACCCTACAATTAATTAAAGCTACAACCTTTCGTCTTCCGTGCAATTGTCTGGGCAGATTGGATCAACTGGATCAAGGATATGATCATCTATCATGGTCTTCTGTAATGCTGTTCTAATGACAGCACACCCGGGGCGTGGCCCCCCGTATCTCGACAATCAGGTGCATTTTTACAGTGATCAAGAGGTGAAATGGCAAAAGTAGCAGTGAACGAGGGTGACGTTGGTAGGTATGCAAGAGGCACCCATCCTGTAGATAGCGATCACTATAGCGAAAATCTGATGTCAGAGGTGACAGGAAAGAAATGTGCTGCTAGAGAGGGGCGACAGTGGCGGACAGTGCATTTCATTGTACTTAAAAACGGGTGGCTTCGGATACTGCGGGGGTAGTGCGGTGGGTACTGAAGGATGGGCTACTCTGCGGTATCCCCATAAATCTGCTTCAGAGAGCAGGCCTTCACGGTGTGATCCGACATCCGACACAAAGAACAGGAGTGAACACGCTTCTTCTTGGCAGCAGGGTCTTTTTCGTACCAGTTTTCCTTACGCCTCCCAGCCCTCCTAACAGAGCGACCGCGTGGTGGAGGCAAAGCTTTGGGAATTTGTAGATTATTGTAGTGCAATAGCACTGTGTTGGAAGCAATTTTAGTCCGGGATCGGGGGCTAACGTGTGAATAGTTGCACAGTTTTTATTTTAATTATTTAATTATATTTAGTTAATTAGTTGGCATTAGTTTTGCTGACATTAGATTAGATCTAGGATCTTGCGCCGCGAGCTACTGTAGTGGCTCCGGCGGGGCGATATATACCTTAGCCCTCTGACCACCAAGTCAGTAAAGGTAACCCGAGTTGCCGGAGTTAGATCTCGCCTTCGTCGAAGACTGCTTCCGTTCACGCAACACGCTCCCCTTCTACGCTGCTAACGACATCCTCTATTGCTC